GCTGTGTCTCCCTCTGTCAAACAAATAAAATCTTTTGAAAAAATTAACCCTGTAATTTTTTCAAAAGATTTTTTTTTTGAGAGAGAGAGAGTGTGTGCACGAGTCGGGGGGGGGTGTGGGGAGGAGCAGAGGGAAAGAAAGAAGCACACTCTTTGCTGAGCAGGAAGCCCAATGCTTCCCAAATCTAAAATTTGCCTACTTACTTCTTTTGTGGTATTTTGCCATACAAAGTTTTAGTTTTTATATATTTTAACATATCTGATATTTATTTTGTGGCTTTTGGGTTTCCAGGGTTGGTTTAAAAGATCCAATTTGGGATCTTTCAAATGATTGTTGCTTTATAATTTCCTGTTTCTTTTTCTAGAATTAGAAAACATAATTAGTACAGGTATTGTCAAACTGTCCTAATTTCTTTTGTGTATTTGACATGGAAAATTTAGTATTCTTTTATCATTGTGACTCCTTCAGCTCATTTTCTTTAGCTATGAAAATGAATATTATAATCATGACAACAGATGCTGTTGAATGACACATACATTCACCTGTTTTCAGATTTATTAAAAAGCAATTTATTAAAAAAAAAAAGATAGTGATTTATTTTAAAATGGGCTGAACTGCCCCACTAGAAAAAGATCTGATTAAAATGCTGCTTTTATTGAGTTTTAAAGTTAACAAATGTTTTTAAAACTATCTTAGTGAAGATATTTGAACTGTTTAATAATTAGATGAGTTAATCTCATCTCCTTCTCAGGACACGGACTACTTTCCTGTATTATCCTAACATTTATTACTTACCCTCCAAATAATCATTTGTATTATTCTAAAGCATTAGAGATTAATGGTTTTTTGTTATTGTATACTGCAGCAAAATAAACAAATCTTCCCTCTTCATAGCTTTAGCCTAGTGATATAGAAACGCGTAAGATGTGTGCTTGTTGGTCAGAAAGCACCCAGCCTTCCTCTCCAAAGTGAGCACCTGAGAGTTGCTCCCTGTGTCTTTCTTAAGATGTGAAAAACAACCAGAAGAGAAGTTATGACTAGTGAGATTTTGTTTTCCTCTCTTATAACTGCACGTTGTATCATTTACTGTCCTCAAATTGGAGACCACAGCCAGCACTAATAAGATTTTATACCAGTTGCCTTTGAAGATCTAGTAACAAACAGGATATATTAATAGTATTATATTAATATTAAGCATTTGCACAAAAATGTGTTACTACTTATTATAATTATATAAAAATACACGTACATACCTGAACTTCCCCATCATGTGGATTAGAATACTCTGTGGGGGGATTGTAACTGGAACAACATCATTTCCTTCAGAAAGTGAGGGAATCGGAGTCTTACAGAAATCAGTATTTTTCTAAGATCATCAAAAGTTGTCTGCTACTATGAAAACTCAGGTTTGTTTTTAGCAGGGTAGTGCTCAGAGACCGTTTTTTCCAGGCTCCTATTATACTTACAAAGCTGGCCTTTTCTTTCTAAAAGAGACTTCATGGGGGGTGCCTGGGTGGCTTAGTCAGTTAAGTGACCTACTTGGTTTCAGTTCAGATCATGATCTCAGGGTCATGAGATCCAGCCGGTGTCGGGCTCTGCACTCAGCATGGAGTCGGCTTGAGATTCTTCCCCCTCCTTCTCCCTCTCCCTCTGTTCTTCCCGCTGCTCGCACTCCCGCTCTCTAAATAATTTTTTTTTTAAATAAAATAAGGGGTGCCTGGGTGGCTCAGTCGGTTAAGCGTCTGCCTTCGGCTCAGGTCATGATCCTGGAGTCCCAGGATCGAGTCCCACCCACATCGGGCTCCCTGCTCAGCAGGCAGTCTGCTTCTCCCTCTGACCCTCCCCCCTCATGTGCTCGCTCTCAAATAAAATCTTTAAAAAATAAAATAAAATAGACTTCATGGCATGAACACCCTGCCTTTTGTGCTAGTGAGTGGACCCGTGTGTCCAGGAAAGTGAGAAAAAGCCAAGCATTCCTCTCATATTGAGGTACCCTTTTCTCTTCCTTACATTGAAACGATATGTTCCTGTTTCCCGTGTCTTTTCTATTTCTCCTTCACACCAGTGAACAGCAACAGTTGAAACTGTCCTATACTCACTAGTCCCAGACATTTGCTGCCTGTAAATAGGGCACAAAGTCCATCCAATATCTTATTTCTCGAACACTTTCGGCTTTGTCTGCAATTGGAAAATGACTACAGCCCCTGCCCAGGATGGGCATTGCCCATCCTAAACCAGTACGAGAACTTAAAACTGAGACTCAGGGAGCAACTCTCAGGTGCTCACTTTGGAGAGGAAGGCTGGGTGCTTTCTGACCAACAAGCACCTGGCCCTGAACTCTACTAGATGCAAGTGGAAGGTCAGATGCTGGGGTCACCAACACATCAGCAAAGGGACAGCAGGGTCCTCAGAAGCCAGTGCTGCCTTCCTGTCTACACTGTACCCTCGCTGGGAAATGGAATAGCTCACCTCTGCTATTAATAATTGGAAGCAGGGATTGATCTATTTCGAGCAACCAAAACAGCAAGCCTTCCCACGTAGTCTAGGAGAGAGATGCAAGTATTCTGAACATCTCCTACATAGCTGATGTACTGGCAAATCATCTCGAGCCAGGATACTGATCAGAACCAGAGGAGCAACCATACAATAATACATGGGAGGTGCTCCCAAATAGGCATGCCTGCACTTTGTGAGAAGAAGCAACTCTCACCTGAGGCCTCCTGATGAATCGAAGACAAGGTCTCATCAACATTCCAAACATAAGAACGACGGTGAGGAGCACCGTTTCCCTTATCCAACACACCACGCACACCACCTCAAAGCATGATGGCTTAAAATAGGCACCTTTTTGTTGTTGTTGTTGCCCACACGCTGTGGGCTGGCTAAGCTCAGCTGAGGGGTTCTGCTGGTTGGGCTTGGGGTGTCTCATGAGGCTGCTTACAGAGGGGAGCACAGCTGGGGTTGGAACACTCAGGGTGGCCTCTCAGTCCTCCAAGCAAGACTTGGCAAACTATGACACCCTGCCCCGGGCCAAATCTGAAGCACAGCCTGTTTCTGTTCTGCCGCAGGCTAAGAATAGTTTTTACATTTTTAAATGGTGGAAGAAAATCTAAAGGAAAACATTTCATGACATGTGAAAAATAGTGAGATTCAAATTTCGGTGTCCATAACATTTTACTGGAGCCTGGCCCCGCTCACTGTTTGCACACTGTTTACAGCTGCTTTGGCACCGCAGTGCTAGAGCCACATCAGAATTCCTCAGGCTTCCTCCTAATCTTTACCGAAATTTACATTTTGAAAATAAGCGCTTGGCATAAACACAACTGTAACTGTTTAACCGTCAAAGCTACCTTTCTTTGCTACAGCAGTGCAGCTGAGAACCTATTCCCAAACCAAATCATAAGCAGGTTTCTCTAACCCCACCAGCTACAGCATGCAATTGGAGGCTTGCAATTATTTTATTTCAAAGAGGAGAAATGAGGGGCGCCTGGTGGCTCAGATTATGGTCCCGGGGTCCTGGGATCAAGCCCCAGGTCAGGCTCCCTGCTCAGCGGGAGTCCTGCTTCTCCCTCTGCCTCTTCCCGCTGCTTGTGCTTGCTCTGTCTCTCCAATAAATAAAATCTTTAAAAAAAAAAGAGAAATGAAATACACGCTGATTTTTTAAAAAGGGGAATTGGAAACAAATATCATTTCTGCTTTTACAAAACGAACCCCAAATGCCTTTCTAAACAATAGCCGGAAAACGATGAACATGAATAGATACAATCCTGTCCCTTAAAGAGCTCCCAGTCTGGCAGACAGTTGGACAAGTAAACAGTGCGGTGCAGGAATTAATAACTGACCACTGAGTAGCACAAGTATGATGGCAGCACAGAGAACAGGCACCCAGCCTGGCTCAGGAAGGTCTTGGGTGACTTGCTCAGGGAACTGATGGGAAGGAAGACAAGCGGGATTGGCCCAGAAGCCTTCCCAGGTAGCCCCTTAGGGCCTGATGGAGTGCAACGTGCCACAACCAATGATGCACTGCCCTTGACTGGCGTACTCATTCATCTGCCTCCACAAACCTGCAAATTCCCTTAAAGGCAGAAACGGTGTTATTTGCCATTTCATCTTCAGTGCCTGCTCTATTATCTACAGTGGCTGATGCGTAAGAACAATCTGATAAATGAATATGCACAGGTTTCTAGGATGAAAATATCTCTTCTCTAAAATAGGTTACTGTTTAAAGACTCTCTTGTATGTCTATGCCATGCTATATTAAAAAAATCTGTACTAGTGAGTGTTTGAAATGCCAATACCAAATATCAGAGGCAGGAACAGGATCGGGAACCATGAAGACGCAAAAGCAGACAAGACATAATCACTGTTCTCCATAAACTCACAGCTTGAACGGGAGGTCTCACAATCGCCACCTACAACTGAACCAGAATAGCCTTTCACTTGTTTATAGTTTGGAAGTCGACAAATACCTCTTTTGAATAAAGGGAGCATTTCTTAAAAAAATTAAAAAGGAAAACCTTGATCAAGTTAATGAGAAGGCTAAGCTTTCCTGAAATATTTACATATTTTCCCCCTCCATTTTAAGACTAAAAGGAAATGGAGGGAACTGAGAACTTCCTCCTGGATTTTATCTTACTTTTTCCTCACTAGTCATCTTTAGCACTTTTCCTGATACTTAATATATATGTACAATGAACAGATGTTTACAATAATAAAATTGTTCCTTCTTATATGTCGCAATATCACCTAATATTTACCACTATCCAGAAAAAAAGCTTCTATGCATATCCTCTCTAAAATTACCACAAAATATCTCCAAGATTCTATACTTAATGCCAGGGATACCAAGATGTTTAATTCAAAACCATTACCTAATTTCTCTATAGCATGTTGGATTTTAAAAGCATCTCATTTTCAAAATAAGATGGTTTAAATCACTTTAAAGACCCATATACAGTGACCTTTCTATGATGTTTGTAGGGAAAAACGAGCCAGAACCATATAGGTACAGTATTGTTTATTATAAACAATCACATAACAGTATAAGTGTGCATTTGAAGGATAATTGAAGCCTAGATATGATCATCAAAAGCATTACTTAAATAGAAATGGTTTCTTTTCTTGTTGGTTTGTGTTACATTAATTTGAACATATGTCAGGATCCCCTAGTCTTGTCATACAGTTCAACTGCTAAATCATAACAGGGGAAGACAAATTTGGAATGCACATTATAGTTTGCTTTAGTTGTTGAATATACATACCAAATATTCAGGACACATTCAAAGTTAAGCAGGTGCTTAAAGTCTAGCAGGTGATATTTAGAAAATGCTTTTGTTGTTGCTTCTAATCCCTTAGAAGACAATGAAAAGGGGATTCTAAGTGTTAGTGCTATGTTGTTGTTCAACTTTTCCTGATTTATACTGGATGTAAAAAAAAAAAAAATAAGGTAAATGTGTTGAAAAGTGACATCTTTATAGTTCCAAAGCACTGGCAGATAGTAAAATATCATCTAACTAAAGCAAACTTCTCACATCTCAATTTTTAAACAGGAAAAGAACAGAAAACAGGCTTGAACAACACAACAAATGTTCTGGGTCTTCAGAGCAGGCCAAAACGTTGTTCTGTATTGCACGACCCTTGTCCATGGCAACCTTAAAAATGTTTGGCATTGTTGGTGCCTTTAAATGGCTTAGCATGTCCACTTTGCTAGTTATCCTATAAAGGAATGCTATTACATTTTTGGGGGATTGTCCATCTAAAGGAATGAATGCTACATGAGCAAACGTGGAAGTCTGAAAGAAAATGCTACATTACAACTTTGGACAATTCCTGCCAGCAAAAATGTTAAAAGCCTGATGAGAACGTGACTAGTTACAGTGATCGGAGGGTTAACTTTTCTGAATTTCACTCGTATCCTAATTCGGACTTTTGGTGAGAGAGGACCGGTGATGATGCAAATGTACCACTTTAATCATTTGTTTTTCAAAGGATTAACACAGGCTCACTGGAATATTTTGTCCTGGTTTTACCAAACCTGCATGAACATCCAGGTTTGTTAATTTTTTTAAATGTAATTTATAAGTGACCAGTTATGATTAATTCTGTAAAGGTATAAGGTTATCAGAGGATGAGTTTGAGCATCTGTAAAGAGATCAAGAAAGCTATGTTAGGTCTCCGGAGCAAAAACCATGTGTACTTATGCTCTCACAGAGCTGTACTCATGTGAGGAAGACTCACCGTTTTAATGCCTTTTCCAAGAAAAGAGGAAATGGAAAAAAAACTGGAAAATAGGGAAGTAAGGGGAGAAAACAAACAACTTTGGGGCGCTGAAGAAAAGCAGAATTTCTCCAAGGAAGACTTCATCTCTTACCTGATTGCTCAGAAGAGAAGGGAAATAAGTTTCAAAATAGAGATAATTAAGAAATCAGTTACATTTTTTCGAGCGGAAGAAAGATCATTAAGTTTTGTTTTGTTTTAAAAGTTCTGAAACATGAAGATGTCTACACAGGTTTCCTAACAAGACTCTCAGCTCCAGAGCCTGGCGCTGTCTCTGGTTTACATTTGAGTCCACAGTACCTAACACTGTATCCGGCCTGTATAGGGGCACAATACATAGTTGAACCAATGAACTACGGGGTTTTCTAAACACTAAATGGACCACCTAGTTTTAACGTAGAATGTACTATTTTCTATTGCATATATGAAAGTTTCTATTAGGTAACACTAGTCCTTACAAGAGGTGACAGTAGAAGCTCACTCGTATATATCTTTTTCACAGGATCATGTCTACCTTGAATACAATTTAATGAGAAGCAACTATTGTGTGCACTAATGCTGAAAAGAGTTGAGACAGAATGCATAAATGAAGAAACCTCTTGGATTACCGAAGTACCGTCTGTTACAAGCATAATTACCTTCTTAAATTATACATTTTTAAGAGGGTGTGAAATATTTTTCGAAGCAATGCAGTGTTCAGTGGGTGAGAACTATATATATATATATATATGTGTATATATATATATATATATATATATATACATACTTATATATGAAAGTACCTAGAAATGTGGGGAATTATCCTCTCCTCTCTTTATCATCCAAGAGTAAATAAGAACAGGTTTTTAATACCGTACATATATATTTTAAATGTCCCACTCTTCAGTACCACTGCTCCCCAGAAATTATAGGGGTTACGAAATTATTATTTTATTTGGGAAGTTATTTCCAGGTATGAGGCTTCAGCTTTATAAGAGGCTACCAGCTGTGACCAGCAGATCGAGACACTAAGTTATATAACTCATAAATTTGACCCCAGCAATGTGTCCAGATTTTCCCAAAGGCTTCACCACTGTTTTAGTCATCTGTAAATAGTATGTGCCAACATGTAGGGGAAATAAGGCAAAAGGAATGCCCTCGCCACGAAGTCTTCCAGTGGGAATGTGAGAAGGTGTGATTAAACATACGATGCTTTTGTCCAACCCTCTTACTTTACTGCTTTTTCTCCACCTAGGATTTACACACACGGTCCTTTAACTCACTATGCAGACTCGGACATCAGCCAGATTGCTTGACTGGAATAACCAGGAAAACAGGGGCCCGATTTCCGATGTGGAGGTCTCCCTGGGTGATTTTCGGACTAAGTTCTGGTTTTATTTTGCAATTTGGGGATACAGCTCATTTCATGCTATTTTCATATGAATCTTCCCATGTATTAGACTCATTATTTTTATTTTTACAGTGGTAGATCATGAGGCAACATGACTCCCAGCTTCACAGTCTCTTTTCCAATCACAGTTTAAATCTGTTTCAAATGTACCATTAATATCAGCACAACAGTCCAGTTATAGGTATTTCAACTTGGGAAATAAAATAATTTACGTGACTTATCTTACATAATTAATTTTACAAGCTTTTTTTTTTCTTCTTCTTCTTGCCAATAGCACTAAAAGTGAGATTGTTTAAATGTTACGGGTTTGACTGCTTTCTTTTGTCTGAAAGTGTCACTTTCTCTAGTGCTGCTAGTACCCTGATTTGTAAGATATAAACAGTTTTGATATTTTTCTGGTAGGCCACACAACATGCCTTATAATGACACGGCTGACTAATGCTGCCTTTTTTTCCTGCCAACATTTTTCAAATTCTATTGACGCAAGTGCCTTTCATTTATTTCCTCCCACAAAAGAAGCCGCTTCTTCTTATAGCATAGGCATGAAAAACCTGCTTTTCTAATCACGTTGTACTGGCATCAGGTTAACTAGAAATTCTAGCACAAAACAACCGGTGATAAAAAATACGAATAGTATATATTATATGTATTTACATTATGTACTTAGAAACCTCAGTTAATTGCAGATCTGAAATGCTATGTAAGCCACTGCCTGCAAAAGCATCTATTCTATAGAAATGTAGCTTAAGACATGACTGGCTGTTAAGACACTGAAGAAATCGGGTTATGTGGAGAGCCCATCTGAGTCAGAACTTTGTCCAACCACTGCAGTGGTCCATGAAGATGAATCTCAATCCAGCAGGGGGTGCTCGTGACATCCTGGCGATGATACTCAGCTCCCCAGCCCTGGAAAGCAAGAACAGAGCCAAGAGTGATGGGGCCAGACTTCCGGGTCAGCCTCTAGACGTGTGAGACACGTGTGGGTGCACACAGAGCCCACACCCCAGAGCAGCTCCTGAGAGCCAGGAGAGCGTGCACTCCCCCTTCCTGTAAGCACAGGACCATTTTTGCATCACCCAGACACCCGAAGATGAGTCCAAATCAAAGGATTCCCTCTGAGCTCACAGCTCAATACACGGACCTAGAGTGGTCTGGGCTCTAGGCACATTGGAAACACTGGCAAATCATTTTCTCTTCCACAAGGGAAGGAGCCTGACGTTACGTTCAATCCCTTCCTGCTGAAGACAGTGTTTTGCACAAAACAGATGCTCACTACAGACCAGTGAGTGGATGTGAAAGGTGTAAAGACAGAAGTGAGGGCGCTCTTGATTATTCAGGGTTGGCTAACAAAGCGTGTTTCTCCTCTCTCTCTTTTTGGCTCACTTTTGGCAATTTCTAATTTATTACCATTTGTGGGAGAGACAGTAAAAATAAATAAAAAATAAATTGGTCTATCTTTTTTCTCTGTATGTTATACATCAGTGACAAGTAATTTTAAAAATGAAGAGACATAACACATCACTGTTATTGGGAACAGTGATTATCTGTAGTTCTTAAAAAATTGGATTTCAACACAACCATGCTGCCTGGTCACACTTTACACTCGTGACCACAAGCCTCAAGTGTATCTCTGATGCCACCTACAATGAATGACACTCCCCCAGTCCCTGTGCTCTCCCACTCCCCCCACACGCCAAATGACTGCTCACTCCTGCTTCTGTTCCCTAAAACGTCTAACACCTACTCCCCAGTCTGTGAATGATAACCTTTTTTAAAAAAAATATTTATTTAAATTCAATTTAGTTAACATATACTGTATTATTAGTTTCAAATTTAGTGATTCATCACTAAAATTTAGTGATTCATCATCAGTTGCATATAACACCCAGTGCTCATTACATCAAGTGCCCTCCTTAATGCCCACCACCCAGTTACCTCATCCCCCACCCACATCCCCTCCAGCAACCCTCAGCAGTTTGTTTCTTCAGAGTTCAGCATCACTTATGGTTTGCCTTCCTCTCAATTTTCATCTTATTTTAACGAGACATGAAGCAATCAGAAGAGTTTCCACAGCACCTGCGCCAACATACTCAACCTTTCTACTTCTCACCACAGATTAATTATCCATCTTCCAAATAAGCCGGTCCATCCAGTTGTGCATAAGGCTCCACTGCCTTCCCAAGGACATCATTCCAGCAAATCTCCCCATTGTCTCCTGCAATATTTTGTTTTCTGCTGGATCATTCCCATCAACATAGGAACATGCTGAAATATCTCCCATCTTTAAAACACTTCTCTTGGCCCTAACACTCCCACCACTTACTGCCCAAATTTTTGACCCCCTTTCTAGCAAAAACCCTCAAACGGTTGTCCATACTGGCTGTATGGACAATTCCTCTCCTTCCATTCTCTCTTAATTCCATTCTGATCAGCATTTAAACCCCAGCCTTCAATGAAACTATTCCTGCTAAGATCAAAAAGGACCTCTGCATGCTAAAATTAATGATCAGCTCTCAGTCTTCCTGTTCCTTGGGCAGTACGTGATCTAGTTCGTCCCCTCTCCTCCTCAACATACTTTCTTCTTTTGGTTTAAAGAGCGCCTTACTTTTACTTAGTTTTACTACTACATTGGTTACTCTTTCTCAGTTTTCTTTTCTGGTTCTTTCTCTTTTCCCCTATCTTTTAAGGTTGAAGCGTCCTAGGGCTCCGTCCTAGAAGCCCTGATCTTCTCTGTTAAACTCACACTGTTGGCAATTCCATCCAGGCTCATGGATAATACTGTGCAAACGCTTACAATTCCCCAATTGACATCTCCAACCCAGCCCTCTCTCCCTAAATCCAGATTCGTACATCTAACTGTCTACTCAGCATCTCCGCGTGGATGCATGTCAAACATCACGGAGTTATTCTCACTAAAACTCAAGTCTTAATCTTCAGTCTACACCTGACCCACCTGCATCTTCTCCCTCCTGGGTGGAGGCAACTTCATCTCTCTAACTCCTCCTTTCACTTACCCCCTCACCCCCATGGAATCACCTGTGCAACTCAGAATCCTTCCCCTTCTTACACCTTCTGAGAATGCTCCTCCTAGTGGGCGCAAACTTCAGCTCTCATTTGAATACTGCAATGGCCTCCAAGCTGGCCTCTCGGCTTCCATCCTTGCCTGCATAGTATCTACAACCCACATAGCAGCTATAGTGATCCTTTAAAAATATAAGTCCGATTATGAAATTCTCGGCTCAAATCCTTTCAGGGGCTCCCCATCTTGTTAGAGTAAAAGCTGAAATCCTTGCGGTGGATCTCACCCCCCCCAGCCCCACCCCCGGCTCCCTGACTCATGCTCCTGACTCCGGCACCCTGGCCTCCCCGCTCCTACAAATGTCAGGGGGTAAGCTCTTGCAGTGTGGTTTGCCCTTCCTCTGTGTCTACTGCTTCCCCTCCACATACCCTTATGACTTAACTCCCCTGTCTCCTTCAAGTCCCCACGGAGGCCCACCATGCCCATCTTTTTAAAACTTGCAACCCACCCCTACCCCAGCACTCCAGTTCCCCATATCCTGCTCTATGTTTCTCTTTCCATTCACATTCTTTATTATAGCTGTTGTTTAGTGCCTGTCTCCGCCTATGGAATACTGAGTCCATGAGGGCAGAGATCTTGAGGAATCAGTGATGTATCCCAATGCCTAGAATGGCACCTGGTGTGGTCCATGGTAGGCGCTCAATAATATCTTATTGACTGACCGACTGAGTCCTGGAATCAGTAAAAATCAAAGCTAAAAGATGCCTCAAAGATGATCTAGTCCATCATATCTCAGTGGTAGCCACCAGTCTTTAGTCCTATAATTTCTTTTTTTTTAATTTTAATAATGTGTTTTATTCAATTCGATCTATCTAAAATATTATCCTATCAATACATAATTGATATGAAATTACTAATGAGATATTTTACATTATTTTTATATGTACTCTCTTCCCCCCCACCCCGGTTTTGTTGAGCTATAATTGATATATACTGTGTTAGTATTAGGTGTACACGTAATGATTGGATATATGCAAGATGATCACCACTATACATTTAGTTAACATCTATCCCCTCACATACTTACACATTTCTTCCCCATGATGAGAACTTTTAAATTTCTTTTAAACTGATTGTCTGTTGTGATATTTGCAATATTATTGTTTTCTGTGAATTGTATAGCTTTATGAAATAGATCGAGCTGATCTTAGGACAATCAGCTGTCTATGAAAGCTTATGTGAGTGAAATAATTACCTCTGACGTACTGGCATTTCATCCTAATTTAAAAACATGGACCTGGAAAAAATAACTGTGAGTCAGATGATTGTTCGTTAATGGCAATTTAATGCCCTCTGCTGGCTCCAAAGCATCAGAACATTTGGAAAGATTTCCAGGTAATTGCTAATAGCTTTACAATATAAAAATGCTTTTAAAGCTTAGCAGTAAATTTGCTTTGTCATCATGAAAGAAATGGTTTCAAAAAGCCATTTTCTTAATTGGAAACTATATTCTTGATGTTATTTTTAAAATATTTACTAAAATTATAAATACAATAAAAATTAGAGTATAGAAAAATAGGACAATTCTTTTTCATGGTAATCTTAAAGAATTAATAAATTTTACTTTGAAAAAAACCTGGAACAAACCATACTGATTTCTTGGATGGATATGCGGCAGTGTGAAAACTGTCACACAGACCCAGAGTTTGATAAACAAGCTCAGATTTGAAATATCAGAACTTTTTGCAAGTGCTTTGCAAGAGATGGAACAGCCAAAGACTTCAGCGTGCAAATCCAGTTGGTTTTCCTTCCCACTAACTTCCTCAGTTCTCCGAAACCTTCACATCAACGTTAGTAAGATCTAATTTGAGAAATTCAATAAATATTCATAAACAGAACATCTACTACTCACTCAGAGTTAATCATACACAACATAATATTTCTATCCCAATTTGTTTATGCCTTTATAACAGCACTTAATGTACACTAGCTTGTCTTAGAGCCACCACTGTCTATTTTGTAGCTTATTTATAAATATCCTCTGTTGGTCTGTATGCTAAGAGTAAGGGCAATGTTGTATTCAATTCAGATACGTTCAACAACATTTACTGAGAGACAGCAGTGCTCAGGAATTTGAGAGATGAAAAAAAAAACCCTCTGCGGCATCAAATCCTCTAAAATTATCATTGTCACTTCATCTTCTGCATGAAAAAAAAATCCGATTACTACCTTAACTTGTTCTTCCTTCAAAAGTAAAACGCTTAAGAATTTCCTTGTAACTGCTAAACAAGAGAGTTGATACTCCTGGAGGAGCTCTTCTTGGAAACAACGGAGCCAAGTTCCAAGAGAAACCCCCGCCAAAACAACAACAACAACAAAAACCCGGTTGCCTACTTGAACGGGTGGAATAGCTGCCACAGCACCCAGAGAATGCTTTGGGGGTTGTTTTATGTTGTTTTTCACCTTCCAGCTTACTCTCTGAAAGCAAGCACGCCTCACCTTAACAAAGCTCATGCGGATAGTGCACATCTTAGTCAACTCATAGACGACTTCAAATCCGTGGTGAACTGACTGAGCCAGCAGCTGAGCAAAGAGCTGGTTGTTGAAGATCTTGAGACTGCAGCCGCTGGGGATCTTGCAGACGGTGGCCGGGTGGAAGCCGTGCTGATAGTTGCAGTTCCGGCTCTGTACAAAGATGCTGCTGTCGCTCACACACTCCGCGTACACCTCGCCCCCGACGTAGTATAAGTGCACACCTGCGAGGTAAACACAGCATGCCTCAAGCACCAGCAGCCTATTTAGTTTAGGATTCACACCATTCCCTTCTCATTGCAACCTCAAGGTCTGTGACGATCTATTGAGAAATTAATTTCTATCCCAATCTGTTTATGCCTTTATAACTTTATAATTATGAATTATGAATTAATTTTAGTATCACCAGCCGTAGTAAGAAGTGTGATCGAGGGCGCCTGGGTGGCTCAGTTGGTTAAGCGACTGCCTTCGGCTCAGGTCATGATCCCGGAGTCCCGGGATCGAGTCCCGCATCGGGCTCCCTGCTCGGCAGGGAGTCTGCTTCTCCCTCTGACCGTCCCCCTCTCATGCTCTCTCTCTCTCTCAAATAAGTAAATAAAATCTTTAAAAAAAAAAAAAAAAAGAAGTGTGATCGAATGCCCACTTGTTCTGATGATACTCTGTGTTTTTTTTTTCCATGAATCCATTTAAAAGTGGATTGCACCCCATGTTTACAATGATTACTGAGGCTCTCTTGTACTGCTCCTTCTGTCACTCTCAATCTCACGCTTATTCACTCCAAGAGTAAGGGCTCACAATATTAGAGGCAAAGTAAATACCCACAATGCAGAAAACATCACAGAGTCCTTTGGGTCCATGTATCAACAAAAAATAGAAATTGGGCACAGATAGTATCGTGGAAATGTCACTGACGTGCATACACTAAACCCACTTCAGAGGAAACAATAAATGAAGTTTACATTTTATTCCAACAACAATTACGGATCCATTTGTCTTAATAAATACCTCAAAGAGATCTATTTCATTTTAGAACTTGTCACCTGCTATTATAGATCACAGAAATAATGCCTGTATTTTACTTAGGAACAACGAAATTCTTGCCACCTTTTCAGATATAAAGACTCATCATCAAAATGTCACTTATTTTAACTTTACCTCACATTTTTGGACTAAAAAGCAAAACACCACCCTGAGATTGGTGCTGCCCACACTAATTTTCACTCCAGATTAAACCTGAGCTGACTCTCTCCCCCAAGTGTCTGGGTTTAAGACTTAACATACATTTATAGCCTTAAGGGACTGGGGTTAGATAAAATGAAGATGTTCTAGTCTAGTGAACATTAAATCCCAGCAGTTTTCCTCCAGCCTTTCAGCAGAAACCAAATTCTCCAGCATTAGGGGTCAACGTGATTGCAAATACAATCGCCATGCGGTCACAAGGGGTTCACAGAAAGGATCCAGAATACACGCAGATGGATAGATTGTGGGTCCCCTCAAACTGAAAATACCCATTTTTAAATAATAGAATTCACAGACCTCTGGGGGCTTCTGCATAGCCGTGCATTTAGAAAACCTCACTGAGAGCGCCAGCCACCGGCTGCCCCTGTCAGGTTCTCAGGAGCACCCGAGGCGACAGTGCATTAGCTGTGACTGCCTCCCAGCATATTTATTGTTTCCGTCTCCCATCTCCTTTCCCTTAATAGAATTTTAGAAAAGAATGGTTTTCAGCGCTGCGTATTCCAGCCACGTCACTGAGGAGACTGGTCAGGAGTCACAGAGCTGAAGCACGGCACTGGATGCTCAGTCCAGGCGGGATGCTCCTCACCGGCTGGGACATGGCTACCCGACTGCACTGACCCGTTGGAGGGGAGGCTGGGGCAAATACAAGCAGACTTCCTTTCCCAGTCCCCACGAGCTCCCGGGGGAGAAGGTCTGCCCCTGCGGTGGTTATGGTTGTTCAAAAAGAGGGTGAGCCAGGGTGGAAAGAGCCAGAGAATGAGATGGCCCAGTGTTCAGGATGTATTTGAATTGAAGGACCTTCAAATTTATAATCCTCCCAGAACCTAAGTTGAATCGATAGGATTTTTGTTATCTGACTCTGGTCTTTATTTAGGGGATGATTTTCAACCCTGTGAAAGTATCATCCGCAACCACAGGCAGAATAAGGAAAGCAGAGAAGAGCCTGGGCAGACAGGCAGGAATTTAGTGCCCTGAGCAAAAAGAGTGGGCAGAGTCAATGGGATGAGCACATGGAGGCCTGAGTCGGCTCTGAAGGGCAGGACAAGGGTGGAATTCAACCCCATTGTGAAGGAGGCTGGGCTTTGGCTAGAGACAGTGGCATCTAAATAAAAGTCAAGGGTGCCTGGCTGGCTCAGTCAGTTAAGCGACTGCCTTCAGCTCAGGTCACGATCCTGGAGTCCCAAGATCGAGTCTCATGTTGGGCTCCCTGATCAGCAGGGAGTCTCCTCCTCCCCCTGACCCTACCCCCTCTTGTGCTCTCTCTCTCAAATAAATAAATAAAATCTTAAAATAAAAAAGTCAAGTAGGCAGATATTTTATTTGCATCCACTTGATAAGCCAAAAACAGTGGCTTTAAACGACTTGTATTTTAGATTCAAAATCTCCATAGAGAACAGTGAGCAACAGGATAATGCCCTTCCTGAGATGCCAAAGAGGACCTGGGCAGTGTGGTCCTCAGGCAAGCTCTTCCAACATCTCTTGGGCTGCATCCCTCTCTACCCAGGCTTCCCATTTGTGTGTGACTGCCGCCTGCGTTCTATAAGATGAGGGAGTGTGGAGTCCTGTATTGTGGTTACTTAGGGCCAGAGACACTGTGGTTCTCATTTGGGTCTGCTAAGTCAGACTGCAAGTGTGTTCCCTTTGGGTGCTCTTCCATAGTCTTGAATGAGACAGAGAAATGACAGGAAAGACTGGGAGGAAGGTGGGTTGCTTCGGTTGGTGAGACGGTTCTGAGGCTCTGGACTCTAACAGAAGAAAGATAAAGTTAGAGTCCCAGAGTGGAAGGAATGCTGACTGGGAGGAAGGGACAAATACCAGCACAAAATGTAAGTCTCATTACCCCATCGCCCTGCTCAGACTCTGGTGCCTCATCATTCCCCTTAGAATAATCCCAAACTTCCTGGCACAAACTCAACACCTTATCATGAGTTTGTAATCGATCTCCCCCTTGCCTTTGTTGCCCTGTCTTCTGCATACCATTTTAAAAACACGGCTGAATATCAGGATCATTCAGAGCTTTAAGGAAGTGCCCATTTCTTGGTGTAATAATGGTACTTTTATTTAGAAATCCCTTATATAAATATATAAATACTCAAATCTATGAAGAAAGGATATGAAGTCTGAGATTTACTTTAAAATACTCTCACAAAAATACTGTGGAGAGATAGAGGATAAGAATGCACAGACTGTGAATCATTACTGAAGCTGGAGAGGGTGATAGAATATTCATTACACGATTCTGTCCCCTTCTGTGTATGTTTGACATTTTCCAAAATAAATAATGTTTTAATGTATGATGAGAAAAGTAATAATATAAAAGCACAGATTTCCAGATCCATGCCAGGGCTTTGGTTCAGAGGACAGGCCCTCAGTAGAACGATGCCCGCTGTTGTGCACTGCATAACTCCAAGGGTGTGCCTCATAGCCTTCCAGGATTTTTATCATCATTATAAAGCTTCTCCAGAAGATGGCAGTAGCTTCTCTAGAGAAAGAGGTTCCTCGTACAAAGCCATACAAAGCCATCGCTAGGCTGGAGGCAAGGTCAGTCCCCCAAATCTGAACCTGAAAACTTTAAATCTCTTTGTATGATATGATGAGCAAACAGACTGGGGCCCAACTGAACTCCACAGAATGGCCCACCTCAGTACTCACACTCAGCTGCTCTGCTGGGCTGGGCTGCACGGAGATGCTTCTCAGCACTGCTGCAGCTATCCAGGCCTGCCCTGACAGGTCACGGCCCACACCCCGCCCATCCTCTCATGAGCAAGAAAGCCCACGAGAGACGACTGAGAAAATACAGAGATGCAGAGAATAAAACTCAGCCACAAAGGCACAGCCCAGAAATAATCAAAGCTAACATTTGTTATAGAACCTTTCAGTTTTCTCTTTCGTGCGTGTTTTTAAACCTCTCACCCTTCCCCCACTAAACAGTTTAATTTTACTGTACTAGCTTTAAAAGGGAATCCTTTTAAAGTGAAAATTCAGATCTGTAAACTCTTGTGACCTGGTCCTATCCCCTCTTCTACAACTTCCCCAATTCCTTACCCATTGTATTCCACTCACCCTGGCTTCCCTGCTCTTCTTACAAGGTATATACCAGGCAGGCTTCAGGGCCTTTGCACCTGCTGCTCCCTCTGCTTTGAAAGCTCCCCCTCCATGTGGCTAATTCCCTCTTTCTCTTTCTGCTCAAATGTCACCTTGTTAGGAAAGCCTTCCCTGGCTATCCCATTCTACTTTATAACAAGCTCTCCCCAATCTCTTCCTCTCCTGTGTTTTCCTCTAGACGAATCCTTAGACATATATAACATTTTTCCTTCTCTGTCTTTCCTTACTTATGTGTAACCCATGAAAGCCAGATTTTTTCGTTTTTGTTTTTGTTTTGTTTCTTTGATTCCAAGGAAACATCCCTAATGTTTCATCCCTAATGGTGGGACAGTCTGGCTAAGAATAGATGCTCAACAAAGATTTGTGAGATGAATGCCTATCTCCAAAATCTAAGCGTCTTGATTAATTAACTCCAAAGAACAAGTTAACTTATTCACTAATCTAGGAGGCATTTTGCTGCAAACTTATTCAGGAAGCCATGCTGCTCAGAACCAAATAATCCAAGGGAGCACCCTAGAAACAGTCCCCTGACTTCGTAAGGACTGATAGCTCTTCCTTTAAAAATATTCTAAGCTGAGTTTTCCCCATGCTTTATGGCATGGCTTAGAGCTCCTCTAACTTTATTTTTTTCTCAGTAAAGCACTTCCAAAACAGCATTCTGAGAATACGGACTTCGCAGTGGGGACCACAAGAGGGTGGAGTGCCCTTTCATCCAGTGAGCACTTAGGTGGATGTCCTGGTTTTCATAAGAGGCCGTCAGTCCTAGCTCTTGTTCCTATGGTTTCTTAACTCGGGGATTAGCTCTCAGCCAGTAACACACAGAACCTCAACTCCCATGTCTGCATCAGCAGAACCTTTAATGAGATACTTGCAGAAAGATTCGCAGAAGGCACTCAACACTCCTTTCGCGTTTGAATTCTATTTTGGACCAAGTGGCATTAGCCAAAGTCTCATACACAGACCAACCTAGAAAACAAAACCCCTCAGCACACAGCCCCACAATATTATGTTTTAATGTTCTGCCTTTAGATTTCACCTGAAGATTCTTATAAAAATCATTTGAAAGTAAACCTGTAGGAACTGAGAAATTTATTTAAGAATTCAGTCAAAGGGAAAGTATTTCCTTTGAAGAATGGCTATGTTTCCTTCTTTGGGATAAAAATTACACTACAGTTGTGTTTCCACTTTTTGTCCTCCCTGTCAGGAAACCTAGGGCACAATTTTAATCACAACCACAATGCTAACCTTTAGTTGTGTTCTCCTTCCCTGCTGCCCCCAGCCCCCAGTTTCTGATTTTCGATTTTTCATTTATCATTTCACTGCAAAGGTTTCCCATAAGCCACCTCAAAGCCACTATGGAAAAATACAGGGTATAAATAAACATAAATATCACCATTAGAACATCAATGAATAAATTCAGCCTGTTTCTAATCAATGGCTTATAGGTTTTCTACAACAGGGTACATTTAGGAGGTATGTTAGGAAGAATATTAGAATGTATCACCAAGTACAATAATGAATCTGCCCTGGAAATGTAAAAGAAAAAATTTGTGTCTACCTTCCTGAGGTGGCCTGAGGGCTGGATGGAGAGAGAAAAGATAGAATGACGCTAAAGGTTCTGTATAACTATGATTGCATGGTAGTCTGACAGAATAGTGGACAACCAGGTATCGAACACTGCCAGCTACTCTAATACAAAGAAGATGATTTAAAGATACACAAGGAGACCTCACACTCAGCTGGGATTTGCTACCGTTGATCACACCGATGAGACAGACTTCAAAACTTCATTGGCCAGACCTCGGGGAGGCCTGTGTCCATCTGGCTTCCTAACAATGCCTGACCACAGGAGAACCCCAATCGCTACCAAAGGTTTCCCTACATAAATAGTCATGATTTTCACTACCTAGCTTCTAATCTCCAAAGGTACTTTACCTGATATATATAATCACCCCGCCAGAATTCCTCTTCTGAAGTTTTCTTATTTAAGCATCTTTAAGGCAATTCAAACATTAATTCATGATACTTCTATTTAATAATTTCATCCTGCTTTCATATTTATCCTCTTGTTTGTCTTCATAATACTTATCCTACGCCACCCGCCGAAAGATGCTATGCTGACCCTAGAAGCAGAGAGACCACGAGGCTGCAAGCCTCTGTACCTTCTGCCAGCTCACCCCTGCCACCAGCCTGCCAGGTTACGCGGACAATACAGGGCTTGTTTCTCTCCCCACGTTTTAGCTCCGAAGAACACATAAAGGAATGACATATTTGCCTTTACCCTTTCCTATGTGTCTCCTGGTGTTTTCTATTGTTGAGTTTCTGTTTACATTAGAAAGAAGTCCAAGACAGAATCGATTCCTGTTATTTGAAGGGTCTGTGAATCCATCGATAAGCACGCTTCGGGAGGAGGCCTGGAACGTCTCCCCAACCCGGTTGTTGAGTTCATAGTAGGCGACTGAGCACCAGTGTTGTGGTTCCTCATAGCAAACTGGCCGAAAGTCTGGAAGAAAAAGAACCAGAGAGCACATCACTCCTGTCATGCCCGGATTCCCATCTCACGATCCCACCTGGACACTTACATTCATGCTGTTAAACAGGAGAGGTGGCTGCCAGACGAGGATGCTCTTCGTGATCTTTCCAAACCTGTCACTTGATGAAAGATCTGTGTGGTGAGCTCATCTGGTCACCACACGTGAGGCACAGAGGCCCCGATCCCTGTGACTCTCCCATGGCTAGAGCATCTGTACTGATATGTATTAGTATTGGGAGGGTGTGACAAACAACACTATGAACAGATCAATGTAAATCCCATCACCCCGAGAGGAGACAGCCCCAAGGAAGGGGGCAGGTCACCTCCTCTCTACATGTGAAAGAGAGGGTATTACTGTCACTGGACCAAACAGAGTCCCGGTGACAAGAGTATCATTTTCTAACAAAGGATGAAAAATGATAGTTTGGATATGATGAAAGCCAAATCAAAAACACTGGACAGGACTTTAAATTATTTAAGAAAGAAAAAAAAACTTCCACATAGAGTCACATTCTCCATTGTATACATATGGAGTACTTCTATGTCATAAAATATTTTAAAGACAGCTTTATGTTTCATTAGGAAATCCATGAACGTTATGTTTTCACGTCAAATTTTTCACCGCTAAGTAAATTGCCAGTAACCAACCAAAGTTCAGAGTTCTTTCTTTGCCACCCACATTCTTTCTCTGTCTTTTGACTGATTATATTAGCTCTCTTTTCTTTGAATATTCTAGTAATTTTTGTATCTACAGTGTGTTCCTATGTGCACTAAAACATAAATTTATGAAAAATTTAGGGGTTATTATTTGATTTACAAAAGGATCTTTACTTATAAAAGACTTCACCCCCGGCAGACTTGAAATCGTAAGCTCCGTTAGACCCTCTCTACTCAGTGTGGTTCCTGAACGGCTCTGCCTCACCTGGGAGCTTGTGAGGAATGCAGATTCTTGGATCCCACCCCAGATCTAAGGACTCCAAATCTACATTTGCCTAAGATCACCCTGTGGTTTATATGAACATTAAGACTGAGCAACATTTATTTACCTAGCCTATTTTAAGAAACAGATACAATTCTGTAAAAACCCTATTTACATATTTATGTATATTTCTAAGAGCACCCCTCTAAGCTAAAGCAAAGACACCACTACAAAACTATAGTAGAAACACAATTGGGACAAAACTGCTAACTCAAATACCCATTTCCGTACTAAATATCAAGAACTACAAACATCTAAATGTTAGGTTAGAATAAAAAATTAACTTATTCTAGTAACCAGGATGATAAACATTCACTCTATGGTGCTGAGGAACGCCAAAGTTAAAATGCAAAGCCATGTGAAATAGCAGGCTAGCACATTTTTTTTTTTAATTTGTTTTGTTTTGGGGTAATAGGAAATGCTCTTGGAAAACAGCTACATTGAGCCGTTCATCTACAAATTTACCTCCATTAGGCACTGACAGGACTAAATGACTATCAGCTGTGGCATCTACGGGTCGGCCATTCTGGGTCCCTGGGGCTCCCGTGGCATGATAAGGCGGGGGTGGTGTGTCAACTAAAAGAAAGCAGTAAAACAGAAGCATGTCAAACTGATACACTACACAAAGACAGTCAGATCCAACCTTTCTTGCTGTGAAACTCCTGGGCTTGGTGCACAGGGTTATTGCTCGAGAGAGGCCAGTCATGTCATAAGGCTATTCCGCAGTGACACTGTGAGTGTCACACAGAAGCTATCGGTTGTCCTGACACCCTCACTAAATGGTTGATTAGTTTTCCCTCTGACTTAGGAGTTATCTAAGAGTTTTAAGTTCCAGTGACTGCATGATAAGATTTTCAAATCAAGGAGCTATTCTCCTAGCTTTCTCAATAGTGCAGGGGTCCGTTGTCTGGCTTTCAAAACAGAAAGCCAAACCTTCTTTGAGCTTAGTTTTTTAAATTCCTCTGTTGTCATGGATCGTACAATGGCCACAGGGATGCACTGTCTCTGAGATTGTTCCAAATACACCCCCAAAATGCACAACAGCTGAAACCTGATTATAACCTTGTGCCCAAAGCATGCGGAGAAGGGCTCCCCTCCCCAAATATCAGTTCCTGTAATTGGACAGTGATCATGGTTAGGCAAATGCTGTGCGTTCAGTAGATAATTTCGTATCAGAAAGTAATTCGCAACACAATAAAAACTCCTGCAGGAGAGGGAAAACTCTTTAGTGAGAACCTCAGAATAACTGAGCCCTCCTGTACACATTCCTAATGTCAGTTCAGAATCGACTTGTTACATTAGCAGTGGGTGGAGTTCAGTGACATGAAAAGTTGAATCAGCCTGCTTTTGTTGAATTGAATTTTGTCCATCCAAGTAGTTCCCACACTTAAGTGTGCATAAAAATCACCAGTGAAACTTGTTAAAGATGCAAATTCCTGGTGCCACCCTCAGAAATTCTGAGTCTGGAGATCAATTGTTGGGTGTAGCCATGTACATTTGCCAGGCACTGCTGGCAATTCTAAAACAGACCACATTGTGTGACCATGGATAGGCATTTCCTTGTGAGAAAATAAACTACGAGCCTAGTGGAAAAGGTATAGAGCAAGGTGGCTCTTCTGCAGGTCCTTGAGTACGTCTAGCTATAAAACTCAGAGTTTGAACACAGAGTTACCATATCACCATATCTGCTCCTAGGCATATGCCCAAAGGAGCTGAAAGCAGGGACTCAAGCAGATGCTTGCATGCCAGTGTTTAGAGCAGCATTATCCACACTAGCCAAAAGGTGGAAATAACCCAAATATCCATCAACCAATGAATGGATTTTTTTTAAATGTGGTATATCTATATAATGGAATATTGTTCAATCACAAAAATGAAGTAAATAATACAGGCTAACAACATAGTTGAACTATGAAAACACTATGCTAACTGAAATGAGCCAGACACAAAAAGACATATATTGTATGATTCCACTTTGAGGTACCTAGAATAAGCAAATTCATAGAGACAATAAGCGGACTGGAGGTTGCCAGGGGCTGGAGGAGGGGGGAGAGGGAGAATTGGGAGCTACTGCTAATGGGTACAGAGTTTCTGTTTAGGTGGATGAAAAAATTTTGCAAATAGATGGTGGGGATGGTTGCACAGAACTGTGAATGTCCTTAATGCCACTGGATTGTACACTTAAAACGGTTAAAACGGCAAATTTTATATGATATATATCTTACTGCAACTTTAAAAATTAATGTATGAAAACCACTACATTGCACACGTTAAGTGTGTGGACTGTATGATGTATGAATTATATCTCAATAAAGCTGGTAAAAAAAAAAATTAAGGGGCTGAACCAATTAATTTCAGAATCTCCTTTTAGTCTCACTCATTTAAGGGTCTGTTATTCAGGTTGCATTTTGCTGTTAATCATTCAGAAAAGAATTATTTTCTTTGAAATTAAAAGAGCCATTCCCTCCATGAAAACTAACCAGCTTCTGCAGGGGTGTTGGGGTCCATCCTTCATGGGTGGGAAGAGGGAACAGTATCAACCTGTTAGCTTCACCAGTGCAGGAAGACAAGCTCAGTACAGGTGATCTTTATAGCACAGATAGGTTTCAAGTAAATACGTATTCTGTGACATAATTATCCTCCTGTCCCTTAGCCATGGCTCTGTCTTCAAATGACTTCTCTCCCTGTTGTGTCCCTTTCTCGGTGAATCCGGCCCCTTGTAAGATGGCAACCATCTCCCCCTCTCCCCGTGTGGAATGACTCCTGAGCTTCCTCCCAGAGTCTCAGCCTTCACCCCTGCATCAAGCTGAGTCTACCTCCTCAAATTCATTGTCTTCTTTCCATCCCCACATCCCAGCCTTCACCCCTGCATCAAGCTGAGTCTACCTCCTCAAATTCATTGTCTTCTCTCCATCCCCACATCCCTTCCTTAGCTCACGTCCTTATCGTTACCTGCCCGGACCGCGACAGCCTCGTTGCTTACTTACATGATTGTTCTCAACAGTTATTACCTCTTGAAGGTCAGAGACTATTGTCAGAATCAATCATCATTGTACTCCTTGCAGTAGCACAGTGCCTGGCACTTAGCAGGTGCTCAGTCATTACTCACTGACTCAGTAACATCAACAGCTATAAGCCTGAGCTCTAGCCCAGTTCCAAATGCCTGTGTGGGGATTCATTTACTCGGCAATCAACTGATGAGCAACTACTGTGTTTTAGGGTCTGTGCAACACATATAAAAGAGAAGATGACTGGCAGTCGAATAGGGGAGATATACAATGAGGAATTATATAATGCAGTGTGATAAATGCAAGAGTAGATGTGTATGAATATAGTAGCTGTATCGCTGAGAGGGCAAAAGGAAGAACTGACTAACTCAGAAAGGAGGCAGCAACTCCTTTTCTGTCTTCCCACATTTCATAAGTTCTGTGAGGACAGGGACAATTTTTACCAATCTTTTAATCCTCCTTTCAGCTCCCTAAGGCAATGCTTGTATATAATAAACGTTCCATAAATAGCTGTTAAATAAAGGAATATATGCACACATGAATGAGGAGGCACATTGTAACATCTAGCACCAAATGAGCTTATGCATGCCTCGGAGAATTTGTCACTCAGGATATGATTTAGCTCACACTCCTGAGGTGCATATAAATCTCTTCTTCATGATCTAACTTAGACCCACTTTACAGGCGTCGCAGCACATGGAACTGTGACAATGTGCTTGGTTCTCCCTTTGGCACAGGATTTCCCTTCCATAGGTTTTTTCAGCTCAGCAAGCGTTTACTGAACAGCTCCGTCTTCAGGATGCTGTGCTGACTTCACACAACACAAAAGGAGACTGCACTGGCTAGGGGAGCCCTGACTCTGCCCCAGTGAAGTTAGGCATACTTCTTTTGGAGGTAGGGACTTCCTGTGTTTATTCAAAGAGACAGCCAGAAAAAAGGCCAAGCAAGGACCCCTCACATTGCTTGCCCTCAGGCCAAGTCTTCTTGCTTGGGTTAGAGAAGTATTTTATAATCTTATCTCTGCTACCTTAAAAAAAAAAAAAAAAAAATCCCTGGAAATTCCCAGAGATGCTGTTCAAATCCATTTAGCTTCTTCCAGAGGATGAGAACCAGAAACCAGAGCAAAGATATGTTGTAGCTCCAGAATAACTGCTCCCAAATGGCCCTGATCTTAGAGGAGGGCAGGGTCTGAAGGCCCACAGGACATGGCCATGTAAACGGCAAAGCTCCGTATGAATGTAAGAGTGATTGTAATTATGATGGTCCCACCGTAATTGATCGTGTTGGCTCATACCCCATGTGGACGGACAATGGCTTTTACTGACCTGAGTGTTGATAGGGGCTCTCTGGCTCCGAGGGGCTTCCTGGGGAGTGAGGGTAGCCGGCGGTGCATGGGGACTGTGAGAACACGTGCCCGGGCCCGGGCGAGGGAGGGAAGGCAGAGCACGGAGGCTGCTGGAAAGAGTCCGGATAGATGGCGTTGTGCGGCATGAGAGGCTCACTGTGGAGGGAGGCGCTGCGGAACTTGGCCAGAAGGCTGAGCTGGGGGTTATATTCACTGTGCCTTGGCACGAGGACAGGCGGCAGCACTAGGATGAGAAAGGACCCAGTGGATTAGAACTGAGCATTGGCCCGTTGGCACAAAATCCAGTGGATGCTTGCTGTTTGTGTCTGTCCATTTTTTCATGATAAAACTCTGTTTTCTGGGAACTGCCCATCCACTATTCTTTGTGCTTACTGTAAAACTGCCAATTAAGGTCCCATCATTTCCCAGAAAGTGAGCTGGTGAAGCAAGCTAAACACCAATGTTTAGCTCTTAAACACTCTTCTTGCAAACTGAATATTAAACAGAGTATCACAGTAAAAAGTTTAGAGGAGAATCATTCTGATGTCAGCACTCTAAATGGACTGCCTATTCATTCCTACCACAGAAATTACCAGAGCTGCCCTATTATTTGGCCTTCTGCAGGCCTAATTGTTTGTGTCTTCCTTTGATTCTGCCAATAAAGTGGTTTGTTCTTTTTTTAAGGCAAAATTGGTTTCTAAGTGATGCCCAGAATATTTTTCTTTCAGAGACACGTTGAATTATTCAGACGGCCAGCCTAAATTTCAGGCTCAGTAGTGCTGCTAAAGTAAAAAAAAAAAAAAAAAAAATCATCTACTTGTCTTTACCAGAAAGATCTAAAGGTACCTAAAAATTATTAAGTAAAATATAAACAGAGCGTAATAAAAGTGAATAAATAAAAGATAAGCATCAATAAGAAATCTTGTAAATAAAGCCCTATGTATGTTTCTTCTGGGTTCCATACTTAAAAAAAAAAAAAAGTGTTTTTGATCCTGAATCTATATACAAAAAGTTAGGAATGGATGCAATTCTCAATGGCAAGTATTATCCAGGCCTTCCTAGCTCCTATTGACTTTTAAAGTGTCACAGTGCCTGGCAGAAAGAAGATAATCAATAAATTTTGTGGTGCAACCTATCACCAACGTAAGTTCCAGAAAGAGAAGCAGAGAAAACAGGGAGGAAGTGGTCAAAGGCAATTGCAAAGCTCTTCTAAGGGAAAATAATTCTTACCCCAGCTCCTACGATGGAAACCAATACAATAACCAAAAACTAACATAAACCATAAACTAAAATATAGATACCAGAGATTTAAAAACAGTGAAGAAGTTAATATAAGTTAGCTAAATCTTTTATATTAGTCAGTGAAATTATCTCAAGGTGAAAAGTTTAGAAACAGATATATAAGCATATTATGTAGGATTATCTCCATAATTTCTAGTAATTAATGTATAAACATATTGTCTAGGTGTATAAATATGTTATCTAGAGTTATCTCCATAATTTTTAGTGATAATGGAGGGGACATGTAAAAGAACTAGCCAAGAATGATTAAAAGAGGTTGTTTCTGGAGATGGATGGGCTAGCTCCTGTTTTTAACAACACTACTGATTTGTTACCACATGCAAGTATTGGTAAAAACTTTCATAAAAAATAAATGTTTTGGAATAAACAGATGACAACGACAGCGACAAAATCACAATAACATCGGTCACAAAGCCTACCACTTCCCTGCCATCATACATTTACCTCTTTCTTAACAAGCAACAGTTTTCCGTTCTACAGGTAGAAAATAAACTCAAACAGGTAAATGACAAGTTTTAAAACTAACGACCACAGTTGAGGGTGGCAGAGAAGCAAATGATTTCTTCCCCCTTTAAAAGCCAGTATGTGCATCTACGTGTGTAATATATGACATTACAGAACACTCAACATCATCATCCAAAAATGAGCTGGATGATAAGCCGTCACATTTCCTTTTATGTGTTCCATGAATATGGAGGAGTAAAAAGACGACCTGCTTCATGAATAGTCTGAAAAGGAGGGCCCGACAGAGTAAATGGTATATGGCTTCTTCTGCAATGACACTTCATCACAATGCTAACATGGTTCAAACAAACACTCATTTTTCTTTTTTGGATGAAGAAGAACTGGAATAATCTCTGTGACTTCAGTTGTACCGTAAAATATCTATAGTGTATTCCTAACATTGTTAAACATAATGCCTCACACCCTCTGAATGCAGAGACTTCTATTTCTTCATGGGCCGGAGATCTGAGACATTAAAAGAAAAAAAAAAGGGGGTTAGTTTTCTTTGTTTGAAACAAATGTCTTCATAACGTATTTTTACCATCCACGTAAAACCAAAGGCAGTGATTTCTGTAAAGAAAACCGATGGTATCATCCTGGTTGTTATTTGGCTTGACTGGCTAGTTTACCTTAGATTTGTCCTGATCATATTTTTAAATACTTCCACTCCAAACATAGCTGTCTTAGTCCATCTGGGCTGTTAGAATAGAAATACCATAGAGTGGGTGGCTTATAAACAATAGAAATGTATTTCTCACAGTTCCAGAGGCCGGAGTTCTGGGGAAAGCTCTCTTTCAGGCTGCAGACTGTGATCTTTTGTGCCCTCACATGGTGGAAAGGGATGAGGGATCTCTCTGGGGCCTCTTTAAGAAAGGCACTAACCCCATTCGTAAGGATCTGTCCTCATGACTGAATCACCTTCTAAAGCCCCCCACTTCCTAATACCATCACCTTAAGCATTTTTGGTTTTCAACATATGAATTTGGAGGGGAGGGCATAAACGTTCAATCCATAGCAATAGCTATTCTTAATTATTAAATTCTATTTCTAGATCATAACTGCTGCTTACAAATATGACATAGTGAGATTACAGACATTGGTTTCAATTTTATGCCACCTTTTAAATACAACACTATCTTAACAACTAAGCATTACATGGGGGAGAACAGTGGCAGGAGTTACTCCGCATATGGGGTGCAAAGCAGAGCTGAAAAAGCTTTTGTATCTCTTTCAAAAGTCATGTGGTTTTTATATATGGGTATTTTATGTAAAGAAGAAATTATACTCCTGAAATAAAGCTCCAGTTACATAGAGTAAAATCATCACACACTACAAAAACACTTTTTGCATAGAAGCTACAAGATACAAGTCTTGCAAAGTGAGATTTGGGGACTGGTAACACTTAACCAGATGCTAGGTACCAGTCAAGGAAGATACAGTATTGAAATTGAGAGTGAACGTTTAGAAACTTTAACAGCAACTTGACAGAGTAATTTTATATCTGTTAAAATGCAGATATAAAATATATTGTTATAGTAAAAAAACAAAACAAACCTAGACTTGCATTTGTAAGTCTTCTTAAAATTTCATTTGTCTAGTAATTCATTTGTATTACAAAAGTATTGATATTTAAAGGATTGAAAATTTAAAAATTAAAACTTGTCCTTCACTACAGATAGTTAGAAAAGAACTTAAATAAATGATATAAATGGTTGTGTGAGTAAAAAGAAAATCAGAGTGCAGCCTTCAATGTTCCTAAAATGAGGGGTGGGGGTGTCAAAATATTTGGATTTCAAATGCAAAACTTAATTAAGCTTTATGGTAACTAGGAACCCAGTAAACTCACTTAATATTAGCATCCTCACTGTTCTCAAAATATTTACTTTAAACACGGCCAGAAAGTTAAATATAAATTTGCTTTTTCTAATAAAAAAATCAAAGTTAGGAATAAAAAAATCCTGGATGGCTTAAATATTACCTTAAAATTAATACAATCTCCACCCATCTTTCATTTTGGAACCTCAAACCTAAACTATAATGATATGAAATCTATCTGCCATATGTAAAAATATTCACATTATCATTTCTAAAAGAAACTTACATAAACTAAAATACCAAATAAGCCTTTAAAATTAGGTGTTCTAGGGGTGCCTGGGTGGCACAGCTGGTTAAGCGTCGGACTCTTGCTTTCAGCTCAGGTCATGATCTCAGGGTCATGAGATCAAGCCCCACGTTGGGCTCTGCACTCAGCTTGGAATGTGCTTGGGATTCTCTCTCCCTCTGCCCCTCCCCGCTTGTTCTCATGTTCTCTCTCAAATAAATAAATCTTTAAAAAAAATTTAAGATAAAATTAGATTTTCTAGTATTCAAAAAGAAAACCAGAGACTTTTAACAAGATACTTCTCACAATGTACCTTTTACAACTACATTCCTCAGGAAGAGAGAAATGATTTCTTTTTTTTTTTTTTTAAGATTTTTATTTATTTATTTCTCAGAGAGAGAGAGAGAGGGAGCACAAGCAGGGGGAGCAGCAGGCAGAGGAAGAAGCAGGCTCTCCTCTGAGCAAGGAGCCCGATGTAGGACTGGATCCCAGGACCCCGGGATCATGACCTGAGCCCAAGGCAGACGCTTAACCGACTGAGCCATCCAGGCGCCCCAGAGATGATTTCTTAATGAACATTTTTTTTCATTGGATATATTCTGAATGTTTCATATAACTCAAATCTTTGAAACAAAAAAGGTATCAAGTCATTGTCATTAACTCGGACCTGAATGACTTTTTTTAGTATGCCGAGAGCCCAGAGAGAAGCGGAAAGAAAAAAAGAAGGCTAAGACCCATATGATCTGGTGAAAACTCATCAGATTCACCAGGACTTTCTCAACAGTCTCATACTGGGACTCAATCCCGGGATGAAGTGACCATGAGAAGCATCCACACTAAGGCAGTTTTACAACACGACGGCAAGATCTGGGCGCCTGAAAGGTCGCCTCGCTAAGACCACTGGTGGCTGGGCACAACTTCTCCATTATTGCTGTAAGGTTAACTGAACCCTGGAGCCAGGCGGCAGGCTGGACTCCCACCACGGCCTGCCTGCCTAGACAGAAGCATCTTCAATGGACATGGGCCATTTCCCAGAGCTCGTGTGCCAGCCCTCTGGTCTCCTGGAACAAGGCAAATGGCCAATCAGGGAGAGGAAGCTCCTATTAAAACTGCATCCCTGGGGCGCCTGGGTGGCTCAGTTGGTTAAGCGACTGGATCGAGTCCCGCATCGGGCTCCCTGCTCGGCAGGGAGTCTGCTTCTCCCTCTGACCCTCCCCCCTCTCATGTGCTCTCTCTCATTCTCTCTCTCTCAAATAAATAAATAAAATCTTTAGAAAAAAAAAAAAACTGCATCCCTGTAGCCACAAGAACACTCAATCCAAATAGAAATGGAGTCAAACTCTTACAGCCAGTGTGAAGGACAAAGGTAACACCAGACTTCAAAAAGGGGGGGAAATATGTGCCCACGCACACACATATGGGTGTGTGAAGAGTTTCAGAACGATACCTTTTTACATTTAAAGCCACATTTAAGAACGATTGCCAATCCCTCCTAGCCCCTGGTGCTTTCCTTCCTAGGAGGATTTCCAGCAGTTCTTGCACCGGCTGTTTGCAGACCCAGGGAGAAATACGTCCATGTACCTGAGCTCGCGGAGAGTGGCAGCAAAAACCCTTCTTTAGCTTAGTCCGGTTTCATTGAGGGAGAGAGGATGGGAAGGAGGATGTTTATTTTTTACAGTTAATCATATCAAGGCCGTATTAAGACCTTCAAAGACCCCAAGAACTAGAAAAACATGACGATGATAACTCTGAAATACATCCAAACTTCATTTTTCAAAATCACACAAAACTTACATGTATACTGAAAGTATCTTCTTTCTAGATTTTTCTGACTATAAAAGTCTGGATTACTTCCTCAAAACTGAACCTTCCCCTCTTCCTTTTCTTTTGGTGGTGGTGGTGGGGGGTCTTCGTCTTGCTGATGCCCCATCACTCCTCATCAACTGGGATACAGTTCCTCAACTTTTAAAATAAACCGTGATTATCAGGAAGAAAACTCACCTGGAGTCTCCACCCGGCGGTAGTGATAGGGGTTAATGCACACCTCTTTCTGCTTGGAGCCAAATGGGAACTCACAGCACTCCAGCGGCTTCAACTCGTGGTGAGACTGGAGGTCAGGCCAGCGCCACACTCGGCAATAAATGACATGGGGCAAACCCTTGCGGTGGGACACCTGCAGCCGCCCGTCCAGGGACCGGGGAATTGTCACACATTTGCTGGGCTGCCCTGGACAGCTGAGGGCCCTCTCCAGCTCATCCATGGCTCCTTTCTTCTTCTTTAATTTCTTCACTAACGAGTCTACCGCCTTCTCTGCCCACTTTTCCTCTTCATCTCCTTGCTTCCAGCCTAGCAGTCTCTTCACTGCTGGGCTAGTGAAGGAGAAGAGGGAGCTGATGGGGGTGCTGGAGTGCATAAGAGGTGAACTGCAGGTGTCCAGGGCAAACAGGAACTGGATAGACAGCCCGTTATTGCCTGCAGGGCCTGAGGGATGATTGCAGCAAGTAACACTCCAGGGATGTCATAGGTAAGAACTCTCCAGGGATGTCATAGGTCTTTCTTTTCTTCTGGAAGTAACTGACCAATTGCAGTTGGGAACTGGGTTGACTTTCTCTTAGGCTCTACAAGGGGCTGGCCAACTCTGAAAAAAAAAAAAAAAAGCAAGACAAAACCCTAATTAGCTTTATTGGGATAATTTTCAGAAAAAATTAAAGATTGGATATAAGGGAGATAGTACTCTTCAAATGTTTTAGACTTAAAAACTCTTAGTCATCTTTGACTCTTCCCTTTCTACATCCCCTTACCAAGTCTTGGGAATTCTGCTTTCAAAATGTCTTTCAGATTTTGAAATTTCCTCTCCATTTCCACCAATATGTGAGGCCTAGCCCACCTCACCATGCTCCTGGATTACTGCAACAACCTCTGAAGTAGCTCCTCTCTTCCCATTCTAATCAATTTACTCCCCAATACAATTTTTACCGAGTCATTTTCCTATTTAAGAAATTACAGAGGCTCCTTCATTTCCCGAGTATAAACTTCTCTGCCTGGATTTTGAGGGTCTCTATAATCTTTCCTCAACATGCTCAGGCTTCTTCCTTTCTCAATTAGAGTTTGTACAAGTAATCCATCTTCACTGTTGGCAAATATATATAAATGGAATAGAAAAAAAATGAGGACACTAATAATCTCACCACTTATATATATTCTTCTAAACTACTTTATAGGACAGTGGTTTTCAAAGGACCAGAGAGTTCTCATTGGGGGCTCCAAGGTCCTGTCTTTTCTTCAACTTAAAAAAATTTATCACAACAGATGATATGCAAAAACAGATATGAGAATCCAAGTGTCATCTCTTAACCAGGCATTAAAGAGATTTGCAGAGATATAAAACTGTAACAGTCTTTTCAATAATTCTTTTTAAATACTGTTTTTTAAATAAAAATGTTTTGTTAATATACAATGGGTTTATCATTCTCTTTTAATGAATCAATAAATATTTTTAAGTTTCTCAGTCTTAATTCCCAAAATGGTAAAGATTGATAGATTTAAGCTGCATAAACAAAGGTTCTTTGAAGTTTTCAGTAATTCTTAAGAGTAGAAAGGCGTCATAAGACCAAAAAGTTTGAGAACTGTATTTTTTAGAAGTTCTCTGTGTGTACAGTCATGGTACATAAACATGTACACAAAAAAGTATTGCTGTCACACTTGTTATTCTGCCTGAAAATCAGTTGAATGCTTCTTGGCCCTGTCATCCAAAGGAGACATTCTTTCCCAGTTATTCAACAGTCCCATTTAAATTTCCTGAGGTAGAACCGTACAAGTAATCCATCTTCACTGTTGGCAAATATATATAAATGGAATAGAAAAAAAATTAGGACACTAATAATCTCACCACTTATATATATTCTTCTAAACTTCTTCTGTGAAATAGTTGGCTGAAACAAAACCCTCTCTTTCCAGATTTTGAAAACCGAGCTACCTTATTAGCGTTTAAAGTACCTGTTCGTAACATTTTAGAGCAAGCAAACTCATTTTAGTATTTTAGAATCAATCTAGCTCGAAATCTCTAACGATTGCTTGTTTAGTATGCAGTAAGTATCATTTTCTCTTCTGCTTCCCTGGACAGAAATTTGTACCTGAGTACAATTATCTAATCTTCTCCCAGGGCGCCTGGGTGGCTCAGTCAGTTGAGTGTCTGCCTTTGGCTCAGGCCACGATCTCAGGGTCCTGGGACAGAGCCCTGCATCAGGCTCCCTCCTCAGCAGAGAGCCTGCTTCTCCCTCTCCCTCTGCTGTTTCCCCGGCTTGTGCCCTCTCTCTCTCGCTCTCTCTGTGTCAAGTAAGTAAATAAAAAATCTTATATAAACTTCTCCCAACAAAAGTGCTACATAAACTCCTGCTGTCATGATAGGTGCCAGGCACCCCCAGGGGAGGAGGATGTCAGCCGGGTTACACACAAATTGATGAGTTTGATAAATATAAAGCAACATCTGCAGCATTTATTCTTCATATAGACTTTATTTAGCATTGTATAGAGAGGTAAACTCTGACACAAAGGAGACTTGAGAGCTGGGTTTTCTCACTTGGCAGTTTGACTTATACTCAGTTTTATTTGGAAAGGTTGATTTTATGGCTTAACGATCCCGAATTTATAAAAAATAGTTAAGTCACTGTGTTCAAGTTCTGTTTATTTAATCAAGACAGGCTGCCTTGGGACACCTGGGTGGCTCAGTCGGTTAAGCGTCTGCCTTCGGCTCAGGTCATGATCCCAGGGTCCTGGGATCGAGTCCCGCATTGGGCTCTCTGCTCCGCGGGGAGCTTGCTTCTCCCTCTGCCTCTGTCTCTCATGAATAAATAAATAAAATCTTTAAAAAAAAAAAAAGGCTGCCTTAAAGCAATGGTTGAAGAGGATTAGGAGAGGATTAGGATTACGATGCAGAATAACCTGAACCCCCAAAGAGCTTCGAATTCTGCTTAGTTTTACATGGGACTTTTATGAATAAATTGAGAAATAAAGCTTTAAGTCTAGGTCAGGGATAGATAAAAGCTTTTTATAAAATGTTCAGCAACGTTAAACCAAATACACCCTTTAAAAAATGTTTGCTCCGTGAGACAAATAACGGTTCTCTAAACTGGGGTTCACTGTTGTTTTAAACCATGGGTTCCTATCTATTAATGACACGTGAAATCAGTTTGGTCAAACAAAATAGCTTTTGTACAACAAAATAGACTATATTGCAGTGCAGCTTACAAAGAAAGGGTATTATTTCATTAACACCTTCATTCACAGGTATGTGCACTGTGTGAGTGTGTATGGACGTACACGCGCATATGCTGAGGGTCACCGTGCAATTGGCAATGCACAATGCAATGCAATTTGCTACTGTGGGTTACAATCAAAAAAGACAGAAAAACACTACCCTTAAACCAGAGATCCTCAAACCATGTGTGTTTGAGGTTCACCTTGATGAGTGACTTTCTGGGCCACCATCTCTCCTCATCCCTTGGGGAAACACACAAGACTGGTCAAGAATGTAAGGTCTGTGGAACCCTGGCTCTGTAGTCTGATCTCACTGCCACATTTGGAATCTTTATAATAGTCTCAAGTGGCTCCAAAACTATGCTTTTATTGCTACAAAACCCAGTGCCTGCTGCATTACACAGAGGCCCTGGCATGGAGGGAGACCCCAATGAGTCAAATTCAGAATCTCAGAGTATTTAACAGCCTCTGGGTATGGAAGAAAGAGGATAGAAAATATCAAAAAGTTAAGGTTTAGTAAAGCTGATGGGTGGGTATGCAGATGTTCAAAAAATATTCTCTACACTTGCTCCTATGTTTGATATATTTTTTAATAGAAAAAGTAAATTCAAAGAGTGAATCAGACCTGGACTCTCACTAAGGTTTCAGTTCCTATTTGTCCAGGGTACCACTTAAGGCTCATTAAGCTATTCCATTCTCACTCATATAAAGTTTTTGCCACTAGTAGAACAAAGGGCCCCTTGTTTATTTCCAGCTGGCCATCACACTGACATCAACAGTGTAGCCAACCACCCCCCCACCCCCGCGCCCCCTGCAAGCTTGTTTAGTAGTGTCAACCTGGCTCAGAACAGCTTTCCACTGTCAGATAATTTCAATGCCCATAGACTATCTGCTCAAACTTACCATGACTTCCCGAAAACACCACTGCCCAGGCTTACCCTAATAAGTAAAAGAGAGCACTCCCAGGGAGGTTATTAAAAAACAGTTCCACAAATAGGAGGGGGTTTGTTAATATTGCTTATAGTTACTTTATTCCTATAATGTACAAAGAAGAATGAAAAACAAAACAGACTATAAAGATGAATGTATGTGAAGGATTTATAAAGAAAAACCTGGCCAGATAATTTCTGCAAAATCTAACAAGAGCTATGGAAGAGAGATGCTAAAGGTGGTTACACGAGGAAGAGTCCTTGGCCCAAGCCTGGGGCTTCTAGAAGGATTTTGGAGATGATAACTGAGTTGCACTTAGAAGGATTTAGGTCACAGTTAAAAAATAAACTAACTTAGCAGATTAGGATAATTTTCTACTAATTCTTTTTGTGATTAAATTCTCACTTTCCTAAGAAAACTGTCTATCCCTTGCCACAAACCAACTATGTGGTCTCTCTGGGCCCCCTCATTTCCTCATCTGCAGATCAAGGGGTGCTCACCCTCACTGTAAGGGTCTGTCTGGGCAAGAGTTCCATGACTCCAAGGTTGTTGTTTTTTTAAATTTTTTTATTTTGTTTTGTTTTGTTATGTTATGTTAGTCACCATACAGTACTTCATTAGTTTTTGATGTGGTGATCCATGATTCATTGTTTTCATATAAGACGCAGTGCACCATGCAATATGTGCCCTCCTTAAGACCCATCACCAGGCTAACCCATTCCTCCACCCTCCTCCCCTCTAAAACCCTCAGTTTGTTTCCCGGAGTCCATAGTCTCTCATGGTTCATCTCTCCCTCTGATTTCCGCCCCTTCATTTTTCCCTTTCTTCTCCTAATGTCCTCCATTCTATTCCTTATGTTCCACAAATAAGTGAAACCATATGATAATTGACTTTCTCTGCTTGATATATTTCACTTAGCATAATCTCCTCCAGTCCCATCCATGTTGATGCAAAAGTTGGGTATTCATCCTTTCTGATGGCTGAGTAATATTCCATTGTGTATGTGGACCATATCTTCTTTATCCATTCATCTATTGAAGGGCATCTCGGCTCTTTCCAGTTTGGCTATTGTGGACGTTGCTGCTATGAACATTGGGGTGCATATGGCCCTTCTTTTCACTACATCTGTGTCTTTGGGGTAAATACCCAGGAGTGCAATTACTCCATGGCTGTTGGCAGTACCTGACATGTGGGACAGTGTGACTCATTTAGCTGCCATTGACGCTACATTGCTACTCCCCTCCCCCACCCACCCCCAGAATAGTCCAGTCTGAGACTGAAACCTTCACTCATGAAGCTATATTCTATAGAGCAGAGCAAAACAACAATTTTTTCCCCCACAGTTGTCAAATTGACCCTTTTTATAGCAAATGTCACCTACCAACACCACGTGAACTTCACTTTTCTTTCCAGATTTTTGTTTCTTTCTAGCATTGTTTTTATTGCCACGAA